TTTCATCATTATTGGATTGGCAATTTCTTCAAGTGATTTCTGTTTATGATCATATTCTTCCTTCTCTGCCTCTTGATTATTTTCGAGCCATGTAATTGCTTCTTGGATAGCATCTTCAAGCTTCTTCTTGTCTCCTTGGTCAAGTTTACCAGCAATTTTCTCGTCCTATTGAATTTGAAATTAATATTATATCATTATCTATTTTCATTTATAACATAATTTAAATAAAAAAAAAAAAAACTTACTTGAAGTGTGTTTCGTAAGTTATATGCGTAACTTTCCAAACCATTTCGTGCCTGTATCTTTTGTGCAACTTTCTCGTCATCTTCACGATATTTCTCGGCTTCGGAAACTATTATTATAAAGATGTGTTAGTTTCAGTTCATAAATATTGTTACACGACAAACACGACAAACACGACAAATAATGATGAAAAAATTGTGGATTTTGGATTACATACCCATACGTTCGATTTCTTCTTTTGATAGACGACCCTTGTCATTTGTGATGGTTATCTTATTTGATCTTCCGGTTGTCTTATCAACAGCAGATACCTAGAGAACAATTAAAAAAATTAATATTTACAAAAAGAACAAGAATTCATGTTGATAATAAAATTCGAAATCTCCGAAATACATACGTTTAAGATACCGTTTGCATCAATATCGAAGGTGACCTCGATTTGTGGAACACCTCTTGGTGCTGGAGGAATTCCAGTTAATTCGAATTTTCCAAGTAAGTTATTATCTTTAGTCCGAGCACGTTCACCCTCATAAACTTGAATGAGTACTCCGGGTTGATTGTCGGAATATGTGGAGAAAATTTCAGATTTCTTGGTCGGTACTGTGGTATTACGCTTAATAAGTGGTGTCATAACGCCACCAGCAGTTTCAATACCGAGAGATAAGGCGGCGACATCGAGTAAAAGTAAATCTTGAGTCTTTTCAGAAGTATCACCAGATAAAATAGCAGCTTGAACAGCAGCACCATAAGCTACGGCTTCATCAGGATTGATGGATTTGTTTGGTTCTTTACCATTGAAAAACTCGGAAACCATCTTTTGAATCTTGGGAATACGTGTTGAACCACCGACCAAAACAATTTCATGAACTGAACTTTTGTCAATTTTAGAATCTCGAAGTACTTTTTCGACGGGTTCCATTGTAGATCGGAACAAGTCTTGATTCAATTCTTCAAATCTGGCACGCGTTAAGGATGTATAGAAATCGATACCTTCGAAGAGGGAATCGATTTCAATGGAAGTTTGTGCGGATGCTGAAAGTGTACGTTTTGCCCGTTCACAAGCAGTTCGTAATCGACGGAGAGCACGTGCATTGGTCGTGAGATCTTTTTTATATTTACGCTTGAATTCCTGTACAAAGTGATTAACAAGTCGATTGTCGAAATCTTCACCACCAAGATGTGTGTCACCAGCAGTGGCCTTTACTTCAAAGATTCCTTCTTCGATCGTTAAGAGAGAAACGTCAAAAGTTCCACCACCCAAATCAAAGATAAGAACGTTTCGTTCACCCACGGCCTTCTTATCCAATCCATAAGCGATAGCTGCTGCGGTTGGTTCATTGATTATACGAAGAACATTTAAACCGGCGATCATTCCGGCATCTTTTGTGGCTTGACGTTGAGAGTCGTTGAAGTAAGCTGGAACCGTAATTACTGCATTTTGGACTTTACTACCAAGGAAAGCCTCTGCGGTTTCTTTCATCTTTATCAATACCATGGAAGATATTTCTTCTGGTGTGAATTCTTTAGATTCTCCTTTGAATTCGACTCGAATATATGGTTTTCCAGACTTGTCGATGACTTGAAAGGGCCAGTGCTAATGAAACATCGGAAAAATTTTGCGTCAATCGTTAGTATTTAAATGACAATCTTAAATATTAAAGAAATAGATAGATAATACATACTTTCATATCGGATTGAACTTCTTGGTCGCTGAAATTACGACCGATGAGACGCTTAGCGTCAAATACCGTGTTATAAGGATTCATAGCAACCTGATTTTTTGCTGCGTCACCAATAAGACGTTCTGTATCGGTGAAAGCAACGTATGAAGGTGTCGTTCGGTTACCCTGGTCATTAGCAATGATTTCAACTCTGTCGTTTTGCCAAACACCAACACAGGAATATGTCGTTCCCAAATCAATACCAACTATAAGTTATCAAATTCCAAAAAAAAATTTTTTGTTATTTAGGTCAAGTCTTCGTGCCCAAAAAAGAAAAGAAAAAGAAACTTTATTTGAATATACATACCAGCTTTCCCCTCTGGGACCTTTGCCGCTCCTTCCGACATTATGATATTTGTATAGTGTTACCAACTATATAAAAGGGAGGTTTTTTCTCGTGTAAAAAGATTTCAAAGCAAATAAAAAGGTTTTTTTTTCCTCGAATATAAAAAAATAAAAATAAAATTAAAAAAAAAATTTTTTTTATTTTTGTATTGGAAATGCGTGAAGGAAGATTAAACCTTGCTTTTTATATATCAAGAAACTTAAGAAAAATGGGGCTTCACCAATTACGAATATCTTTCCAGCAAGTTCGATTTCGACATCATATCATAACTTTTTCACACTCTGTGTAATTTCATATGTTCATCAAAAATTTTAGACTTTTTTTAAATAGATTAACATACGCCAAAATTCCATTGAGGTGTGGTAAATATTGTTAATAATTCTATCCAGTATGTTCTACTATATTCTATCATTTTCTTGTTTATGTTAGATTGAATGAGAATGACGTAAAATGGAACATTTTAGAAGGTTTCTTGAATAGGAACGGTATATAGGTCCCTGTACCCACATTTGATTGGACGAAAAGGTTGTGTAACGATTGTCGAGTAGGATTTTTTGAAAACATTTCCGGTCGATCTCCATTGGTCGATCTACAAGGATTCTGATTGGTTAAATCAATTTTTATATGTGGAAATCCGAGAATTTTACCTATACTGATAAGAGATCAATATAATATATGCAAAAGACTTATAAATTAAATTTATTATTCAATTTTTTAATAAAATAGATTCTTTGATATTAAATTTTTTTATAATTAATTTTAAAATAATATTTATTAGCTTTTTAATATATTTTATTTTATTAAATTAAATATTAAGTTTTGATATAGTTTTATCTTTTTCAGTATTTTGTAGATTTTTTAATAAGATTTTAATATAATTTTACTAAATTTTATCTTTTACCATTTAAATAACTTACAAAAGTTTTAGGTTTTATCTAACAACCTTACCTATAAATAATATTTTTTAATTTAATAGATAAGTATTTTTTTATTTATATATTGATTCAAAAAAATTTCAATAGTACTTTAAAATACTTTTTTAATTTCAAAAGATCTAAGATAATAAAAATATCTATAATTTAATTAACTAATAAATAATTTATGTTAAAATTAATATTCATATTATTATATTTCAATTAATTAAGTATTGCTTTAATAATGTTAGAATAAAAGAATTTATTAAAAGAATGATTTTAATAAACAAGTAATAATACATATAAAGAAATTTAAAATTAGAATTAAAAAAGTTAAATTTTAAAGTAGTATTATATAAGATTTTGAATTGAATTAGTAAAGTAGTGCTATTAATAGCTTTTAATTATTAGATTTAAAGATCATTTAAATTATAAAACATGTTATTTTTAAAAATACAATCTGATGTTAATATAATAAAATAAATTATATTTAAGGTTGTTTACCTAAACTTTTCAATTTTTTACTAAGATTTTAATATAATTTCGCATTTTATAAGCTTTGATATAGTTTTACTTTTTTTAGAATTTTGCAAATTTTTTAAAATAATTTGTTAAATTTTATTTTTTTCCATTTAAACGATTTGTAAAATCTCTAGGTTTTATTCAGCAACCTTAATAATATTTAACCAACTGTATAAGAAAACTAATATAAAACAATACTCTTTAAAAAAAAAAATGTTAATTGAAGATTATATTTATTAGTAAAAATAGCATTATATCTAATATATAAATCAATTATTTTTTTTTTATTAATACTTTTGATTTTAAGTTAATATTATTATTGTTTTTAATGAAAATTGATAAATACTACTATTAATCTAACCTTTTAAAAGTAAACTGATTCTAATTTAAGACTAATATTATGTGATTAGATTTAAATTATAATGTAAAAAAAGACTGTATTCATTAGAAGTTGTAATTTATTTCTATTTATTATACTGTATAATTTATCTGTAATATTTAATATATTCTCTTTTGAATTAGCAATTCAATTTGAATCACCCATAAAATCTAAAGCTAAAATTTGAGTTGAGAGAAATAATTTAGTAATATTAATTATATCAGAAATCTAAGAATGTTATAAATTATAATCTTTTTCTAAACTTTGAATTTCATAAAATAAATATATACAAAAATTTTTAATTTTAACTTTATGATTTTTGATAAATATATATTATTTAAATATTTAAAATTTTATAAAATATAAACTTTTAATATATACTAAAATTTTTTTTTGATAAATAATTTTTAATATTTAAATTAATAAGTAAACTTCTGTTTAAATTTAAATAGAAAACTATAAATAAGTTTATATAAATTTATATTATAAATTTACATAAGTTTATAATAAAGTATAAGTATACTTTTTTAATATTTACCAAATAATTTGGTTTATATGTCTTAACCTAAGTTTTTATTTATTATATTAATTTATAAAAATATTGGAAATTATATTTTTTCATTTTTTCTTTTAATTATCTCTTTTAAAACCCTTTTTTTTAATAAAATATGCTAAATATTATAATCTAATTACCTCAAATATATAATGCTAAATTAATTTTTAATATCGAAATTATATAAAAAAATTGATGTTTATCTACAAATACTTTTCAAAAAAAATAAAATTTTTTAAAGGGTCACTTTGTTGTAATTTACTTCTACATAATATATTCAATCATCATCTCTATTTACCAATCGGTTTTATTATTATTAAAATTATAGACGAATTAATAAGTAATTTGAAAACCATTTACTATAATCTAAACGTAGTAATAATTGATCCAGATGTCTTGGCGGTCCACCAAAACCTTCTCCCGTTTTATTTACCCCAGAAAGTGTTCGAAACAAAAACATTACTTGTTCCCGAAATTCCTTGGAAAAAGAAACAAATTATAAGATATTAAATTTTTAAAGATGTATACGCAGATTCATAAATTAAAGATAATTACCGCATCATATTTAGCAATTTGTTCTAATTTTTCCTCAATGTCAATTGTCCCATCCAATAATATACAGAATTTGTCAACAATTTTCAAAGTTGTTCTAATAGATTCTGTGCACACGCGAGATTCAAGCAAACATCCACGTAACAATTCCCCTATATATGAAGCGTGACCTAATCTGATATCCTCAAAATCACGTAATCTTTCTAACTCGTTGCTAGGAGGACTCTGCTCAGTTATTGATGATGATCTTTGTCGTTGATGATGTGCAGAAGAAATGGTGATTCGATGAACAAGTTTTTGAAAGTTTGATTCAATAATGTCCATCTGTTAATAAATAAGCAAAGCGTACGTATGTATAGTGGTTAAAAGCAATAAATGAGATGATGATAAAAAATCATTTAAACCTGCACGTGAGCCCATAAACAATCCACAAAAAACATCATAGATGCGCGAACATTCCATGGCACTATCATCACATTTTTATTTCTTTTAGAAAATTTGTAATTTCTTTCCTTCTTTACATTTGCTGCAAGACGAGCCCAGACCTTTTGAAGTTTAAATTGGGTACGACGAAGGGAAATCAAAAATGAGAAAATGTCTCCGTATTTGGACAGATCTTCAGAAGTAACAAATAAATCAAGAGGCCAGCCAATATCGTATTCAAATCTAAGTGGAACACCTATGAGGATATCATCAAACATGCTAATTGCATTTGAGGATTGTTGTTCATTTGTGTTTGGTACTTTAAATCTAAATTTTTCAAATGATAAATCTTTTTCTGCTAATGTACCCACAGAAGCTCGAACCAATAAAGAATTCATTTCTTGTTCTTTAATCAATGGAATTCTTTTGGAGGTAAGTCTTGAAGTTGACAGTTTTTCAAATTGTTCAACAAGTGAAGTTGCAAAATCACCTTGACCGAGTAAGAAATAATTTTTAAAAGCTTCAAGACATTCCACAACTTTATCACCCGTCAAAACTACTTGCCATAACCATTGAGCAACATTATTACGAATAATATTAACAATGTTTTCGAGCTCAATTTGATGAAATATCGGTCTTGACGAGAGTTCCAATAAATATTGTAAATGTAATGAAGCAAGTTTATCCGGAAATTTGCTATGCTTCTCATATGGTTTGGTTGAATTTCTAACGGTTGCAATTGCTTTTCCAACAAATAAAATTGATTTGGCAACATCATTAGGAAGATTATTTGAAATAAAAGATTCGTCAAGGATAAAACGTCGATGCCATTTAGTCTGACTAAATTGTTCTTGTATTTCGATTGGATTATATTGTAATGTTCTATCTTTAATAAAAAATTCTCCAAAAGGGTCCACCAATTGTCCATATACCATCCATGAAGTAATATGTTTAAACATCACTTCATGACATGCATGAAGTAATTTCAACATGATTTCTCGTAGTTCTGGAACACCTGTATTACATTTGTCAATAATCAAATTAAGTATTCGACAACCGAAATATTTTACAGGATTATTTTCAACGTCAAGTATTAACTGACTAAGATGTGGAAGGATGATATAATATTCACTAAAAGCAGAAACCAATTGTGAAATTGGAACGACTCCACCCATATTGTCTTCCTTGTTCAGAATCCTTATCTCGGATTCAATAATAGTTTTATGAAAGTCTGCCAACACTTCATTTATGGCGTTACATAGGGCGTGTATGAAAGAGCCATGTGGAGTACTCTTTAGAGAGGTTTCATTGTCTTTCTGAAGCCCAACAGAGCCATGGTTCTCATTGTTTTCATTTCTGCCGCGTTGTTTATCAAGAAAGTTGGTTAACTTTCGATAATAAAAACCCAAAGCAGCAAGTCGTTCTAAAGAACTTTTTTCAGCTTCGTGTAAGAACGGAAACTCTGGTGGAATTTTATAAGTAGTTGCTGTTTCCGGTTCTGAAGGGTACGGAACAAACAAGTCACCAGATAGCCCAGATAAAGTCAAGAGCAGTTCATGTAGCATTTTTAAATGAAAAGGCTAAAAATTTACACCATAATCACTTGAAGTCCTTTGACAAAGATCTTGTACAACGATCAACAATCAACCAATGAACACCTGCCTATTTATATATTAAATTTCCTCCGTCTTTGGGAAATGAACAATACATAAATCACTCACTTGGACAATTAATGTGATTTCTCCTAATATATCCAAAGATCTTTTAATTGCCCTTTTATTCAAATAATACAATAATTCGGATTACAATCAATTATATTCAATAAAATACAGTTTCCAAACAATAATGACATTTTGTTGCAACTCATTTTTGTTTACGAAAATTTCTCGTAAATTAAGAGTAAATTCGATTCAAAACCTTTCAGTTAAGAAGTTTAATCGACCTAAAATAAACACTTCCGTATATCGTTTTGTTTCAAACATTAAGGACGATAATAAGTTTCCGGCAAGTGAAGAAAAGTATAAGGAAACTCTACCAACTTATTCTTCTTTGCTTGACACCTATCTTCCCTCTAAACTTGTACCTTATGCACTTCTAGCTCGTTTAGATAAACCCATAGGAACATGGCTTCTATATCTACCATGCAGTTAAGTTTATTTTTTTCTTTTTTGTTTTTTTTTTTGACCTCATAATTTTTACCTCAATTCGTTGATTTTAATATAATAGCATGGAGTATTACCATGGCAACATATCATGCCCAATTGCCAGTTTCACAAACGATATATACGTTGGCATTATTTGGTGTTGGGGCTTTTATTATGAGAGGGGCAGGATGTACGATAAATGATATGTGGGATAGAAAAATTGATAGTAAAGTTGAACGAACAGCAAATCGACCCCTTGCTTCAGGAGTTGTAAAACCTTTCCAGGCATTAACCTTCTTGGGAATTCAATTATCAGCAGGATTAGCCGTATTGACTCAATTCAATTGGTATAGGTAAGGAATTAAAAAATGTTCATGAACAAATATTTTAAAATTCATTTGATGATTTTTTTTTTTCATAGTATCTTTCTTGGAGCGACTTCTCTGAGTATGGTGACGTTATATCCACTTATGAAACGCGTCACGTTTTGGCCGCAATTGTACCTGGGTACGAATAGGATTATCTGATATTTTTTATGAAATTTCGGAAATTTTAATTGCATTTTATATATAATACTCTTCAGGACTGGCTTTTAATTGGGGAGCTTTGTTAGGATGGCCTGCGATGATTGGCAGTAGCGAGTGGTCTGTCACGCTTCCATTATATACAGCAGGAGTTTGTTGGACGTTAATATATGACACCATATACGCTCATCAGGTGACATAAGAATCGGATCTCGTATACTTAAATACGCTTGAAACTGATATTGCCGTAATATATTTAGGACAAAAAATTTGATCTCATGGTTGGCGTAAAGTCGACTGCTCTGCTTTTTGGAGACAAGACGCGACATTGGCTCACGTTTTTTTCGGGTTCAATGTTATCCTTTCTAACGTTAGCTGGATATATGAATGGAAATGATTATCCGTTTTATATTATTTCGGTAATGGGAGCTGGGTCGCACCTTGCCTGGCAGCTTCGGACCGTCAACTTTGATGATGTCTCCGATTGTGGTCGGAAATTTCGTAGTAATAAATGGACCGGGGCTATAGTGCTTTCAGGAATTGTGGCTGATACCATTTGGAAAAATTTAAATACTGTAAATTAAATCTTTTTTTTTTTCTATTTAGAGATTTTGTAATGACATTATATTAGAATATCATAAACATTAATGATAGTAATTTATTTACAAAGTATTCGAAAAAGAAAACGGTAGAGGTAATAATTAATTTATCTGATTGATCTATCTAGATGGTTTATAATATTATATTATGTACGAAATATTTGAAAACAGAAAAGAAGAAGAATCTTCGAATTTCTCTTATAATAACAGTATCCTTTGACAAACAACATTTACTCTCGAGAATTATAAAATTCCCACTCCCACCCCCACCCTGACTCTTCCTTTTGTTTATTACTATTTTCATTATCAGTACAAACTATCAAATGTCCCAACAATAATTGTAATCTACCAATCGCGACATTTTTAAGAAGTTCGTTTCGTAATGGTTTATCGTCATCATTTTCTTCCTCTTCTTTATCACACCAACGCGTTGGAGAAAACAATCTATTCCAATTCCATTCAGTTGTTGGTGAAGGTCTATAAGTTGAAATTGGATATGTTAAAATGGTGGAAAAAAGGTGATCAAGGAGATAAATTTGAGCTTGAAACAAATCACAATGATCTGTATAAATGGTGGTTGATTGTTGATGATAATTTACGGTATCATTTGATGAATTTTGTAAAAACTCTTGAACAAACGAATTTGTTTGCGAAGAATAGGAATTTCGTCGCGTTCTAATATTATTGTGTAATTTGTCTAAACCATTTTGCTTGACATAAACTTGGGTGAAATTTTCATCACTCCATTCTTGTCGATATTCATCCTCCTCTTTATCTTCTTCTGACATAAATGAACTAGTTACAAACTCTTTTGAATACTGTTCGCGACCTTGAACATTCTGTTGAAACAAATGGTTCCATTCTCCATTATCACCTTTTAACCAGTCACTTTCTGGAGTAGATGTTGAATAAGAACGAAAAGAATTTGATGTATTTCTCTTCCCTTGTTCGATATTTGATAAAAGTGCCCTTGAGGAAGAGGCTGTAGCAATACTAGCTGCGTCTTGAAAGAATCTGTTTGAGAGATGTGATATTGGGTTATGTGAAGACCCATTATCAGCACAGGAGGATACTAAGGTTGACATATTTTATATCCAAAGAAGAGGGAAATTCAAACAAAAAAATTTTTTTTTTTTTTTTTTTTTTTGTCTTGTATGTGAATTTATAGTAGGTAACGCGGGTTATGTATTATGGCGGTTAGTTGCATAATTAAATAAATTTTTCTTAATTACGCCGATCAATTGTATTTTTTTCTCACGATGAATTATTTTTTTTTTTTTTTTTTCAAGAGGCTGACCCACCTATTTTAAATCTTTGCCTCTGGGCGTATTAGATGACAAAGCAAAAAAAAATTTCATCTATTTAGTCTCATCAATTTAATTCAAGTTGATCATTATTTGTGGGGATTATCTAATTTTCCTTAACAAATAAATACTGGTATATTTGATGTTAATCAAATTCCCAAATTATATTCTTCTCCCGAAAATAAATAAACACGAATTGTTCTATATTGTCATGGTTTTTTTTTTTTTTTTTATCTATTGGCCTTAGTAAATATAATGATTACTTTTCATTATTGTTCAACTTTGAAATACTCGTGATTTCATACTCCGAATGTACTACTTATGGTAGCAATTCTATTGTAAACAGCTAAATTCAAAGATGTTATTTGTCGTTTCAAACTTTTTTAAGAGTTTATTGAAACATAAAATTCATTTCCGGATGAAAGTAATCCCATGAGTGATCGGCGAAATCTCATCTAATAAATCTAATCAGATTTTCCGTATTTGCAATATGCTAGATGGTGTCGAAAATAAACAAAAGTTTAGGGAAATACCGAAAAATGTTGGTTTAACCTATATACATATGATTACAAAATAATTGATATTGATCAATGATTGTATTATATATGTTCGAGTCCACAGTGATGATTAATTTTTTCCCAGTTTCAAGGGACTCTTCCTTAATCCAAATTTTCATGGAATACATTATCTTTTCCTTGAAAATGATATAGTTACGGAGGTCAATAATTTATTCTTAGCCTTATTATGACTATAAGATATTACCTTTGTATCTCATTTTCAAAAAAATTTAAACTTTTCGCTTGGACTTCCATCGAAATTTTCAAGAATTAATTGGAATCGGGAAATTTTATTTAAACCTGTTATTTATTAGAATTACCCATTGATGTGAAAAAATCTTTTCCATGATCGTCAGGGCAATATCGCTGCGCCATTAATATAAATATGTGTCCGCAGCGTCGCGTTGTTGAAATGGTGACACTCGCGTCGTTCCATGATTACACGTGACATGAAAAATTTTTTTATACATGATGTTCGTGAAATTTCTATACAAAAAAAAATTTGTAATGTTATCAAATACGCGCCAACTCAATATTTTATTAACAAAAACTTTATCCGTTCACAACAGAACATGCAGAACACGTCAGCTTTTCCAATCCGTTTCTTCACGATATGTAGCTACTGAAGGCAATAATAAAAGTGTGCACTCTAATTCTTTATCAAAACCAGACCATTGGCTTAAAAAAATCACTTGGAATAAGTTTTTTACCGGTGTGCCACAACTTGACGCGTTAATTAATGAAAGGTTGAAAATGGAATCTAAGAAGCATACTATTGAAAATAAATTGGAAGAGAGAAGACAACAATTTCAGGAAAAACAATCCCGGAGTAAGCGCGTTGAAATTATTTTTTTAACACTCATGAATTACATCGCTCGCTTGAATGTTCAAGTATGAAAAAAAAAAATTTTTTTTTTTTTCTCTTTAAAAATAGGAGTTATCAATGAAGCAGGAGTGGATATGCTTCCTGATTGGCTTTACAGCCAAGTTTTCAATCGTACAACGCGTCCTATTCCACCAAAAAATCTTGTAAATATATCGATGGAACATTTAAAAAAACAAGTACATTATAAGAAAAAGAATGATAACATACCTAATATAAGCCAATTCGAATTACCAAAGTTGTGTGGGAGAACGATTTCAGAACATTTCTGGAGGATCGGAGAAGAGCAAGCACATCCTATTCGAGACTTGGCAATGCGTCTTGTAAGAACGGGATTATCAGCGATGCCATCCAAAACGAACTGGATGTTGTCTCCGGGTTGGACGCGTTATGAAGAAGGAAAACTTCCTAAAGCTGTAGACCATCCAGATGAAACTATTTTATGCTTTAATAGTAAAACTTTTGATGATTACAAGTACCCATTAATAGCTTGCGCCGCTTCTTCTGCTGCTTGGTATTCTTGGATATCTCCATGTTTAATAAACAATGATAATAATAACTCAAAATATCTAATTCCGATTGGGAACCTTAACGAAAATAGGTTATTCGTTGGACATGATGTTGGAATTGACCGGTTAAGGGTCAAAGAAGAATATTGTTACATCGGTTCAAACGTTAATTATTTAGACACAAAGTCTTTACATATTGCAGTTGGAGGCATTTGCTCTCGAATGCGAAATGATTGGAATAAATATCATAAGGCTACTGAAAACAAAGATGAACAATATTTATTACAAAAAAATGATTTTCAAAAAATTTATAATGTCTCTTCGGTTAGTGACTTACCTGACCTGTATAAATTCTATTGCGGTCAATTTTTGAACGATCAAAGACGTGACATATTTGTCAATGGGACATTTAAGGAACTTCAGAACAAGGAAAATTTACAACAAGCAATTGCTTCTTGTGCAAACAATGTAGAGGCAGTACATCGAGTATTTCAAAGATTATTTCCAACCTTCCTAGATGTTTGTCCTCATCCGGTATCACTTGCGGGAGTAGCTCACATGGGAAGCATGTTTTTAACGACGAACAAGGATTGGGATAAGTTTATAAGCAATTCTGAGACGACGTATAAAAGTTTAAATGAGTCAATTGAATCAACTTTAGGAGAATTGGCTGATAAAGCTTTGAAAGAAGGAAACAAACATGAAGAAGGTGATCCATGGTTGAAACAATTGAATTGGAGAACCGATGGTAAAGACCTTCCGGAATGGTATCGCCAAATCTATAACAAAAAGTCAAATAAGGTTCGAGTGACTGCTTTAAGTCGAATCGCACCGATTTTGTTGAAATTGAAATGGTTAAATTATCCTGTTCATTATTCAAAACAATACGGATGGGTGTATCGTGTTCCGATTGGGGATAAAAATTTTATAGCACATTCGATACCGCTCGATTTTCTTACACAACCAGAGCATGCCCACTATGAGGCTCGATTTTTAGAGGATAAAAGTGGATTGTATTATTGCATACCAAATAAAGTTGGAAAAACTAATCGATGTGGTTCTCCACTTTCTAAAAAATATATAGGGGATTTTGAAAATGGTACTTTGCAATCTGATTGTAAAGCAGCCGAAAAAATTTTGAAGTTTCGAGCGGCCTGTACCTATTGGACTTCTATTCGAAATAGAATTAAGTCTCAACTGATCATTTATCCTGGTGACCCTGGAATATACAACTTTGGGTTCGATCTGAGTGATGATGAAAACATTGGAATACTTTTACCGAAAACTGTAACGATGGGAACAATTACACGACGTATGGTTGAAAATACCTGGGCTGTTGCAACAAATCCCAAGGAATATTTGATAGGTTCAGAACAAAGATCTATGATCAAAGCACCTAAAGGGTATAAAATAATAGGAGCGGATGTCGATTCACAAGAAATGTGGATATCAAGCTTGATAAGTGATGCGGAGTTTGGATATCATGGTGCTACTGGACTGGGATTAATGATGCTTCAAGGTAATAAATCTGATGGTACAGATTTACATTCCAGAACAGCTAAAATTTTGGGAATATTACGAGAAGACGCTAAAGTTTTCAATTACAGCAGATTATATGGGGCCGGTATTCAGACGGTCTGGCAAATGCTTGAAAATTCCCTCGTTAACGTGAAAATAGAAGACGCTAAGGAGAGGGCGGAAGATCTATTCAATAAAACAAAAGGTCAGAATGGTTATGGTTTATGTAAAAATGGTCGTAGATTTTGGTTCGGAGGCAGTGAGACTTACTTGGCAAATCGTTTGGAAGAAATCGCAACTTCTTCAGAACCTGTTACTCCAGTCTTGAGATGTGGGATAACTAATGCGTTGAAATCTGCAAGTGTGAATCGAAATTTTATGACCTCGCGTATTAATTGGATAGTTCAATCATCTGGAGTTGATTACCTTCATTTGCTTTTGGTGTCAATGAAATATTTGATTAAAAAATATAAGATAAATGCGCGTTTTATGATATCTGTTCACGATGATGTGCGTTATCTTGTAAAAGAAGAAGACGCATATCGCGCCGCATTGGCACTTCAGATTAGTAATCTATGGACTAGAGCAATGTTTAGTCATATGTTGGGTATTGAAGATCTTCCTCTGGTACGTTATTTCAAATGATTTATTGAATAATAACTTTGACGTATTAATGATTTATTTCATTTTAATAGACTACTGCATTTTTTGCGGGTGTAGATATCGATCACGTGTTTCGAAAAGAAGTTGATATGAAATGCGCTACGGTTTCGCATCAGATTGAAATAGATTCAGGAATTTGTGTTTCAATGGAGAATATTTTGAAACACCAAAAGACATTATGGCGTGATGGGTGCGATGAATTATTGAAATCTGATTCTATAAGAAATATAAAACCTTATGACGCGTCTTTATGGAAGCCATATCAACCAACAAACGATGAATTATATCTTAAAGCTCAGTCCATGTCATCTATCGAAGAAATAAGAAATTTATATAACCAAAAAAAGGACAATTCGGTCACATCAATACCAAATGAAATGCGACATGTTAAGGAGGAGTATTACCGTGCGCATACATACCAAAGATTAAACAAGAAAAAGCGAGTATTTGAGCCATACGTTGAGACCTCTAAAGTCGAGGGACAAAAAAATAAAAAATCGAGGTAATTAAGATAATATGATGGTATTGGTGTTAATGTTTTATGACGCGTTTAACTAATCAAACTATACAAATTTTAGGTTAAAGATGGCTTATTAAGAGAATCATACAAGGATACTGGATTAATAATAATAATAATAATAATAAAACAATTTTCTTCCGGTCATCAGTTTTTTTTTAAAAAAAAAATAAAAAAACAGAACGAGAAAATAATAAAAAAATAATACTTAATGATAAAAAGTTTCAGGATAAAAATACAATTGATGAAGGGCTTGAAAAGGCAACATTAACCCTGTTCAAAATTGATAAGTCGCATTTTTCGGTATAATAGGTTATGAGAACTAATAATTTTTTGGTCCTGAGACAAATATTCAATACATATAAAAAAGTGAAGTTGGTGGCATAACGCCATTCAGTACATGCGAATATGAAGTTAATAACTATTCTTTACAAAAAAAAAGCTGATTTATTCAATGACGAAGTTATACCTATTGATATTTTGAATATAAATGTTCAAAGTTCAGAGAAATTGATAGTTAGTATGGTTAACTTTATTATTGATAAATTATAATATACAAATATTAATTAAAAGTGAAAGGTCTACTGAATTTTAAATTGCTGAAAGATAGAGTGATGAGAAAACTGAAAAATCATTAAAATTATTATTATATTGAGAAGATGATTATGAAAAACTTCAAGTAGACAAAAAAAAACTATCATGTATAATTTAATTTTTACTGAAATCATTAAAACAAAATCTAGTGCTAGTATTAAAGGTAAAACCAAATATTTATTAAAGAAGTATGAAAGAATAAAGAGAGAATAATCAAATAAGTTTTGATTGAAATAGTTTAATATAATAGATAGAATTTTGGATATTGTAAAATATTAAAAAATATTAGAATTACAATTAGTACAAGTACAAAGAATAGTCATTTATTTATAAAGATCAAATATAATAAATATATAGGATCCTTGTAATAGAAAAGGAAGAAAATAGCTAAAAAGAATAAAAAAATAAGTTAATGCTAAATCTGAATATATTTAATCTAAAATCATATTTGGCATATAAAAATAAAATAGAAATTTTTCTGATAGTTTTTTCCTTTCTATTATAAAGATTTCATATATTCAAATAAAGAAGCAATCAAAATAAATTTATAAATTAAAATTTATTATTTTGTTTATTTAATCATAAACTTTTTATAGATTATAATATGAATAATTTTCTCAGAATCCAATTTCTTTTTGTTTTTTCTACTCTTTTAAATTTTCATTACTAACAAATCATTATCTTTATTATTATCATTAGTAATTTCATAATTCTTTTATACATTATCATTTAATTCTAAGAAATTGTATAAATAATAAAACAATTTATCATGATTATAACATTTGAGATTTTTTTAATAAATATTTTTTCTTAAACCAGTAAATCTATTTTTTATTCTACCAAATGAAAATTCAATAACAATTTTATATGATGAAAAAATATAATTAAATTCTATTTAAGTTTTATTTGGATTACTAAATGATTTAATATAAAATGTTGATAAAGAATAAATATTATTTGTAATTAAAAAATTATTTTCTTTAATTAAAGTTAATCTATTAGAATAATATTATAATCAGCTCTTTAGGTTGCTTATAAGTGATAAGCAAAATAATATTTTCAAATGGTAAATAGAAGGTTTGTTTTATAATTAATTTTTAAAAAAGTGTTGATTAGTTGATAGTTTTTTTAATAACAATAACAAATAAGTACTATATCAGTTAAGTTCTGTATTATATATAAGTATGTTAAAGAGATTAAAGTAAAATTATCTAAAGAAAATATAAATCAGATACGCTGCTAAGCTAAAAAAAATTCTCTATTTATATAAAATAAAATACATAAAGTTTATCAAAAAAATAAAAGAAATAAATATAATAAAATAAATATATAATATAAATAAAATAAAATAAATAAATAAAATATATTGTATAAAAGAAATATATATTATAGATGATATAGAAGATGTATAAGATATATATGATTTTCTAGTAATTGATGTTATATTTTGATCATTATCATCTATGTTTTCTTTCATATAATAATAAAAATAAGAATTTAATATATTTTTGCATTATGCATATTTTCAAGTCAATTACATAATAATTAATAAAAATGTCTCAATAATTAACTATCTTTTAATAATATAAAATATGTCTTTTTTTTATAAAATAAAAATATTTTTCTTTTGTAAATATTTTGCAAAACAAAATAAGTTTTATCTATAATTTTAATTATATCTTCAATAACTTTAATAACTTTAAATCCAAAATAAATAAATTCATTATTTTGTTCAATAGGTCATTTAACAAATTGTAATTTATTTAAAATAATTATCCATTTATAATATAATATTATAATATTTTAAACTATTTTATAATATAAACATAAAGAAAAAACAATTTTTTTTAATCTGAATCTATTTAAAAATACAATCAATTGAAGTTTTACTGATATTTATTAAGTTATATAATTTAAAAATATTTTTATAATTTTTTTAAATCTATTATTATCATAAGAAAATAAAATATAATTATACTAATATTAAGATTTAACTAGCATTACTAAAACCCTTAATTTTGTGACTTTAATGCTGCTATAATATGACTATCACGTAACTACATAGTTGAATGATAGTAGCATTTTTATTTTTCTACCTTTAATTTACTATCTCATTACTTTATATCAGCTATATAGAAACAATAAAGATTTTTAGTGTTAAAATATTTTAGTTTAAATAATAAAATTGTTATTATATAAAAATTATTAAAGAATTTAATTGTTTTATAAAAAGTATAATTTCTATTTTCTACCTTGATACTTTACATTAGCTATATAAATGCAATAAATAATCTTTTTTTAAGAACATTATTTTTCAATTTGATAAAAATGCTATAATTCATAATCTTAAAACTTTAATTATATAATTAATTTGAAAATAAAGCAAATTTAAAATTGAAAAATTGTCTTAATAAAATTTCATTTTCAAATATCGTTATTTTCATTTCTTCTGATATCATAGTATTTGAAATTCATTATAATTCTGAGTCTAAATACATATTTTATATAATAGAATTACATATTTTTGCTAAAATAATAGAATAATTGCAAAATAATAATCCTTATTATTTGAAGAATTATATAGTCATCCTTAATGTTTGAGAATTGCGACATAATAAGAATCTCTATTGTTTAAGAAATATAAATTTTTATAATAAAAATGCGATATTCATAATCTATTATTTAAAATAGCTTATTGTTTGAAAATAACATATTATTTAATTGCCTATTATATTAAAATTTGCTAGGTCAAAATAATTTTATTTGAAAATAAATTTCAATATTCTAAAAAAAATTAAAACTTTAATATTTCACATAAAATAAATAAAGCATAAATACTATTACAGAATAAAGATACTATACTTTATAATCTTTCTAAAAAAAAATATTTAATGTAATATTCTTGCCAGATCTACTTAGAATTTTACAATTGATTGTAAAATAATCAAGTTTCTTAACAACTTAAATATTGTAGTTATTATGACATATCTTGAACACTTTTTTTTACAAATGTTTTGAGTTTATCCATCATTTCACATCTCTTGAACTTATCTATATTAATACCTGTCAAATATCTTTTAATGCTTTCTTAGTAACAATGTCTTGAGTTATAAATTTATCAATATTAGTTCTTGTTAGAACCAATTATTGGCCATTTCTTGAAATTTTATTTTTAAAATTCTGCATTAATAATACCACGTTCTTATTAAATTTATTGTGAAAATCAGGTAGAACTTATTTTGAGTGGCATAAGACCTCTACAGCTTTATTACTATATAGTTCATATTTAAATATTTTAGTGATAAGGGTTTCTATAACTTCATCTGGTGAATTTCTACATTGAAGGAAAAGGCACTTAATCTCTTTGTGTCATAAATAGGCGAGCCTCTATATATAATAAAGTTATAAATAAAGCTAATAGCCTATATTTATTATAAATGCATATCACAAAAAATTATATCTTATTTTACATAATTATTATTAGATATTACAGCAGTCTGAACGTCCATAATAGTGATAGATAAATTTAGTGAAACATTTATTACATGCATTTAGTTTATCATTATTAATACATCTGATTTTTCTAAAACTAATAATTAATAAACTTTTAAAATAGTTGTCATATCTTTAAAAGCCTTAGATATTCCTGGAATTTACAGAAATAAATTATTTTACAATTAATGAATGACCTAAAGCCAATAATCACAATTTTACCTGCTTTCTTTCTAGAAGATACAATAGCTTCATTATCATTCATACTTTTATTAATGATAGTTCTTTGTCTTTTATTAATATTCTTTGTTCTCCATAATTATGATACAGTCAACTCTTGTTATAATGAATTCTATATCTTAGACCTCAACTTCATTATAAGGCTATAGTGAAGATTTTAAGAGATTTGATTGATCAATTTATTATAATAAGAGTATTTTTATTATATCTATTCAAAAAATTTGTTATATCAAGAGTTCGTTATATCAAGAATTAACTGTATTAGTGGTCTATTAGTTCTAAAATTAAGATATTAAAAAATAATAAAAGGAAAAAAATTCAGCATATTTTTGTATCATATCACTATCTTTGCTATCAGTCACTTAGAGCAAGATTGTAATATTATTTTGTTTATTATTTTGATGTGATTCTTCAGAATTATCTTCAATTTTGTAAATAAACTGCTATTGATGACTGCTAATTTGTGATTCTTTTCTTTTTTAGGAGATTGTTTTGATAAGTTATTTTTCTATTTTAATTGAAAAATATTTATCAGTAAATACATTACAAAGTATTTCTTTAGAATATGATTATACAAGAAGAAATAATTTATCAACCTGCAATTTTTGGTTTATTTGATATATCTGTGTCATCAAAATTATCAGGAATTATAAGTTTAGCAAA